GAACACTTTTTCTTGAATTTAACAGTAATACGTCATCACTATTGTTGCCCCGCATGGAGTAGGCAGTGGCATCGTCAACCATCGAAGTTGTGACAAACGCAACACATGATATGGTCATATTTCGCTGGATTATTTGTAGCGAAAGTACCAGGTTTCTTTACTATTTATTGGGTTTGATTTCACCATCACCGGACTGTTAGTTAGAAATTTAAATTTACACACAAAATTATTCGATCGAATTTCGATCAGATTCGACTTCTGGATCAGTCGGTATGGTAAACCAGTAAGCTACGACGATTTATTCTTGAATTTCATAGTCGTGTCTGTAAATGTTATATTTTATACAGTCTGCCTTGTTAGCAACCATCGTTGCATTTTGTTCCAAAATTTTACAAGTAATTTTCTATTAACTCTTCTTGCTTTTTAGTTTATTCTTATTTTCATTTCATTTCTCTAACTCAGTGTAATCCTTTAGGTTGACAATGATTATTATTTTGCTGCGTTCATACGCTGTTGTTGTGCTGTGCTCTGCATTGTAATTTTCTATTCCTCTTGTAAACAAACTAAAGGACACGTATTTCTAAACCAAAACAACACTTCCTCGGTAACTTCCAAATGTCGAACTGATATAGGTACTTTGTAATGACAAACTGTGGCCATTGAATGATAAAAGGAAAATGAGTTTTCCTTAAAGTAAACCAAGACATCGAACGGCCCTTATCTCGTGAATAGAGCCAGAGTGGTACGTGACTACACGTACTTAGGTACCGCCCGGAAATTTTACATCATACCCGTAATGACGAGCAGACCTTCAGTAGTGTGCGTCATACTTGAAACGCTTTACTTTTCATACCTTGAAGTAAATAATTTCATGCACAATAATAGCTATAGACAATTTATAAGCAGAGCTTGTGTTATAAATTCTAGACAGCTGATAAATACAACACTAATACAAACAATCATAGTAAAATGACTGAGTAATAGAAACAATCATATTCATGAATCCACATTGAAACTAATGCGGTACGCTTAACCGCAAGACATTTATTTATATAGGACATTGTTACACATTTCTTAATTTTTGTTGCCATGTTAAAATAAAAATATGAAGAAAGTCTCGTCTGCGGTGAAAAGGCGAGGCGTCATTTCTCCGCGGAGAGATTTCTATGTGAGATTCTTACTCACTACCTACTAACCCTAAATACAAAACTTCAAGTTTCTAGAACATGTGTTTAGCCAGTTTCTACTTTTATTGATACCTAGATATCTAGCTTAGTAACGGAATATTAAACACTACAGTTACGTTATTAAACGAAACGAGATATGCGAAGCGGACGTTTACATATGTATGCATTTTAAATAGTAATATGTATTTTTAGCGATAATCTATTTTACAATCTTCATTATTAGCAGTGTATGAAATATATAGATAAACCTTTATTGAGATAGATATTGAACCAATATATTCAACGTTGAGATCTCTGTTTCACAAATTGCTGTCCTTTGTTTTAATCACATTCATTAATTTCCTGTAGTGTACGGTGTTTTTTTTAATGGATAATAATGGAATGGTGCACCCGCTTACGTTAACGGTTTACGCTGGCGGGGCATCAGTGGAGGATGATAAGAAGAGCATAAGGTCAGGTTAGTTAGCCCATCGTGACAAATTCAGTAGGATTTATCACGATGACGTATTGCGAGTAATGAGGTTATTAGTCCCTAATTAATAACAGTCCCCCTGTGATATTAGGGGGCATCTTGAAAATACGTCAAAAATTCGTGTAAAAAATCATGACAGCTAATACCTCTCCCACCCTCCAAAAAGGGTTGTTAGATAATGTGAAATTACATTTAAATATTGTCTAATAAAATGTCCAGCTGTAACATGAAGGCCATATATTTACAGTGAAATAAATAATGATATTGATGTAGATAGATATACAAAAGAAGATTGGTATCATATTTGTTGCATATATATGAATGCAAAGTAACTTTATCTGTTTTTGTACAGATAAACAAAGGATCCGAGGTACTTGAGTATATCTGTACCACAGATAACAATATTACATAATCTAGACAGTGTCAAGCACATAGATGAATTATGAGGCCTTGAGCTACTATCGTTGCCAATTTCTAGGCAAATAATCGGACAAAAATACTTAGTCAAAATTTTTTTGTTGCAAAAATTGTTTTCATTTGTACGGTACAAATTAGGTAGTGAAATTACATGGTAAGAGGATCTTAGTCTTCTAGAATGGCAACACATGAGTATCACGGGTGTCACATGATAAAGTGATGTGCTTATGCTGTTTAGATAAACATCAGGCTTTAGACGGTTACTGCTTACCATCACATAGGCCGTTAACTAATTTGCTATTTCAATTACACAATTTTTTTTTTTATATAGTATATAGCACAGATTAATAAAAAAAAACAATTATTACTCGTTATAATCTTCCAATGAATTAAATGTATAATCATGTACATTTGTATTCTTCATCATGATAATAGTAATATAATATAAAATTTATATTTCTTTTTATAAAAATTAATCTATATATATAATCTATATACATATAAATGAAATTGTAGTGTCTGTTTGTAATATTGAAATAACCGTTTTTTACTACATGCATATGAATATTTATATGATACATATACCAAAATAGCACTTTTTACAATTTTTGTATGTCTGTCTGTGGGTCTGTTTGTTCCGGCTAATCTCTGAAATGGCTGGACCGATTTTTACTTGACTTTTTTTGGCAAGTAGCTGATAAGGGGTAACTTAGACTACTTTTATTTTAGAGAAATAATGTTAAATTCCACGCGGACGAAGTCGCGGGAACAGCTAGTATATAATAATTACATATATTATGCGAAACAATAATATTAACTACACATTATATGTAACACAATTTCCTCGGGTTTCGCTAGTTTCCTTTTATCCAAGTAAACCCTTTGTGGGAAACACAAAGAAAGAAATGTATGAGTGAGCGGATTAATGTTTGTGGTTTATATTTTATATATACCATAGTAGTGAATAATATACAACACTATATAGTTCTCTCGTGTAGTATATGCAGGAAATAAACCACAAACAAATTGTTTGAAACAATACGAAAGTAGTGTAACTGAACCAAAGTGGAAATAGAAAATAATTTTTGAATTTTTCGTACAAAATTGATCACGTCAGAGCACTGTGGGTGGAGGAATTAAGGATTAAAAAATTATAATAAAGCCCTTTATCATGAAAACACAATAATTACTGTAATGATTACCTACTTTTTTTTCAGTTTATCTCTAATTTCAGTGTGCCAAATGGTATAGACCTTCCATTGTTTTCTATTAATTAGTAATTTCTACATTTTTTACCAACAGTTCATTTCAATTCCTATTCTTTATCCGTCTTTCTATCTTACTCTTTGTAGCTCTAGGATACTTCTTCTTCTTCTTGTTCTAGTTCAGTCTTCGTACGCTTGTCAAACTTCTCTAGTTTTGCTATGTCAGATTTGATCAATAGAATGGAATAGAATAGAAAATTGTTTATTAAAATAATCTTAATTTAAGAACTTTTGAATGCTATTTATATACTTTAATGCCTTCGTCAATGGATTTAAATATTATTGGATAATAATTTTCCACTATTATTTTTTTGGGAAATGTGTTTAATTTTCTATACTTAGTAATATTATGGAGCAGATCCTCTTGCTGGGGTGGACACTTCATTTCATCGTCAAGCACCGATTGCAGGTAGGGGCGAAAGATATAAAAATTATCTCAATCTGCTTCTAATAATAATAGTTCTCATAGCAACTGTGTTACATAATTTAACTACTGATGACATATCTCTTACCTTTTTGAGAAATTCTCAGTAAGCTACTGATTTTCGTCAAGATAAATAAATTGGATCGTAATCGAATTGTATGATTTATTTTACTAATTATACTCTGTACCATTGCCAGAGCTGGGCCATCTATACTACACGGTGATACTGTAGCTTCCTCTAAGTGATAAAAAAGACAAGATTTTTTTTGTTCAATCATTACAAAAAAGCTACTATTAATCAAATTATGCCTCTAATATTAGTACAGATAAAAAACCAGATTGGATTAAAAATGAATCTGTTTAGTATAAATAATACAAAGTTTAGGCTTATTAATTTATTATTATAACTGTTTTAATGAAATATTCTAATTTAAAATTATGCAGATACAAGTTGAATATTCAAAATTTGTAATTTTATTCACGATATTTAGCAGAATAAAGAAGACTATAAAAAATTGTCTGGGTGACATTTTAGTATTCTAGAATGTCATGAGCGGTATTTGGGGAGTAAAATGATAATGTAGGTCATACCCGTAGTGCTGTTCATAGACATATACCTACTAGCTGTGCCCGCGGTTTCACACCCATGAAATTTATAGCCCATATGTTATTTTGATGTACAAACTATATTACTGTAAAGTATCATCAAAATCCGTTCAATAGTTTTTGCGTAACAAACATCCATTCTTCTATCCAGCCATACAAAGTTTGGCGTTTATAATAATCTTAGGACAATTCACACAGCGCCATCTAGACCCAAGTTATCTAGCTAAAGCTTGTTTTATGGGTACTAGATAACTGATACAAATACATAGATTTTTTTTTTCGTAAATACATGCATATAATACATAGGAAACACCCAGACCGGTGCAAACAATCATACTCGTGAATACAAATGTTTGTGCCGTGCAAGGATTCGAATCCGCGACCATCGGACGTAAAGCGGTGTGCTAGACCGCTAGACCACCGAGGTCGTCAAATAGATATAAACATGTCATACATAAGTGTGTATTGACAAGGTTTCACTAGGTACTTGAGAAACTATGCAAAATCAGAGAGACAGGAATAGTCACAGATATGCGGGTACTCATTGCGTTATCAGGCGTGATATAACTTTATCTATCTGTATGAATATTGTGGCATTGATAACATTTGTTTGTAAATTACCAGCAATAGTGAATGACGTGAGCTTTCCAGTGTTTTCCTATATGAAGTTTAAAAATCGATTTAGCAGGAAAATATTGTTTTGTTTGAGTTACGTCGTACAATGATTTTGGATCGCGTAAGTAAAGTATTATATTTTGTTTTTTATTTTCAACCGACTTTAAAACGGGACAGTTTTAAATCCTAAGTATTAAAGAAAATTTATGAGTATTAAAAAGTTTTAGATATTATACGATTTAAGCCATGAGCGGATAGAGTCAGAATATAGTGTTTTTATTATCATTCTTTTCATAACATTTGACTTCATCGAAACTATTTCACGCAATACTGCTAGACTAATTTGAATCAAATTTGGTGCCTATATAGATTTTTTTTGTGGATGATAATGAAATGGTGTACCCGCCTGCGCTAACGGTTTACTCTGGCGGGGCACCAGTGGAGGATTATAAGATGAACATGAAGTCAGATCAGTTAGCCCAACGTGACAAATTCAACGGGAATGTATCACGATGGTTTCCAGGAGGAATCGCGTGGAGGTCGACCTAACATGGTACATTGCTAGCAATGGGGTTATCAATCCACATTACTGACAATCTCCTTCCCCCCACCTATGTAGATTTTTTTTTTTTTGTATGTGATAATGGAATGGTGCATCCGCCTACGCTAACGGTTTACGCTGGCGGGGCACCAGTGGAGGGTGATAATATGAGCATAAGGTCAGGTCAGTTAGCCCATCGTGACAAATTCACCAGGAATTTAACACGATGGTTTCCAGGGGGAACCGCGTGGAGGTCAACCTGATATGGTACATTGCTAGTAATGGGTTCATTAGTCCACATTACTAACAATCCCATTTCCCCCCTACCTATGTAGATTAACACATGATACTTTTTCTGAATTCACGTAGATACCTGGGACAGATGGTAAAAATATCCTCATTCCTGGAATACCGGTTGGGATAGTCGTATGCATTGTCCTTCTCTATGTCGTGGTGAACAACAACCGTACCAGAATCATGAGGATTCTGGTACGGTTGTTGTTCACCATTTTAAAATCACTAGTATCCTGACGACTTAGGCGTAATGCCGGTTAGTCAGGGAGAGAAACACCTCAATGCCTACAATATTCACAATTATCTATCTCTTATTTGTTTTATAATAATATCAACACTTTCGCTCCAAAACTCCCGCTGCCTCCGTTCAATCGTCCGTCATCCACACGTCAATGTCACATAGATTACTTTGGCTCTGGCCTCTGACGTTCCGTTTCAGGTTACATGATTATTGACTTTACCATTTTTAATTAATGGTGCGTCACACGATAGTTAACAGTCGGCCATCCTGCAATAGTGTCTGGCCCAGACACATAGGTAACTGATGAGCGTAGTCATGCTTATCAAAGGATATAGTGTCTACAGGATCATATAACAAATACTTAACTAAATAAACTAAAGATACACATTACTTTCATAACATTGACTATCTTAGTATACTGTCAAAGGTTTACAATCTAAAATCAATACTAACAGAGCTAAGTTTCGGCATGCATTCAGAATGCACAAAATATAACATAACATATATTAATTTACATAATCCTAAATATATATTTTAATGTTTATTTTATGTTTTTTATTTTATGTGGAAGTTAAAGTATTATGTGTTGTATTTTTTTTTTATAATTATTTACTATTCTTATGTGTTATTTGAATTTTGTTTGTACTATCTTTGTTATCGGGATACGAATAAAGATTTTTATCTATCTATCTATCTATCTAATCCAAATCACCCAAAAACATGAACAACCTTTTAGAGTAACAAACAATTATTTGGCGGTGATTGACTTCTATGAGTCAGACTGTAACATATCACCATCACAATGTAAGTTTCCGATCTTATGAACATTGCATTTTTTTTTATACCTCCAAAATAGAACTTGACATTTCTCATCATGAATATTTTAACGGATAAATTTAACATATCACATTACAAAAGGTAAATCTATCGCTTATTCGGAACGCAGATTCATCACAAGAAGAATAAACAAGAAACCTGTGTGTTGCTCTTTTAAATAAATATTGATTTACTTATATTTAATTAACAACAAGGATTAGGCGTGCGGCAATCAACATAAAAACCGCTACGCACTTAATCTCCGTTCAATCAGACAACATTGACAGCGCTATGAATTTCAAGTTAGATATTTTCTAAAAAAAAACACCGATTTATAAATGATGACATTTATAAATTTTTCAATTTTATAATAAGCTTTTTTTTTTTTACAAAGAAAATATTTTATGACACATTTGATTTCTTTTTCTGGCAAATTGAGTAGAGACTCTGGGAGTTTGTTGTAAAACCTTGCGCAATTTCCATAAAACGAATTACTAACTTTCGTCAAACGAACGTGAGTTTAGTAAGCCTACTATTCACTTTATATTTTATCGATGGTATTCGTAGCCACTTCGGCCATCCAACGTTATCGAAGGGCCTCATTCGATATTATCATAACAGTTAACATCAGGTAATATAATAAAATTAAAATCATATAAAATTTAGTTTGAGATACTTTACATACTTAAAATATGAAAGTTGCCACTGACAACTACACATTACATTTCAACATCATGAATTCAGTCTTCGTTATATTTTTCCGCCTTAAGTTGTATCACTTAATTTTTCACACCAGGTACTAGTCAGCGTCTCTGCAAACACGGCTGCCTAGCTAATTAGTGAAATACCTGTTAAAACAAAACATTAAAAAAATGCCACCGCTTGCCCACTATGACTACGGTCTCAACAGATCTGGATTTTATTAGACTCAGCCACCGCTTGCCCGCACAAGGAGCTACGGCCTCAAACTGGTCAGATTCTCATTAGACTCAGCCACCGCTTGCCCACACAAGGAGCTACGGCCTCAAACTGGTCAGATTCTCATTAGACTCAGCCACTGCTTGCCGCCACAAGGAACTACGGCCTCCAACTGAAACACATCAAATATTTAACAACTGGTCATTTTCTCAATGAGGCATTCACCGCTTGCGCACGCAAGGAGTTACGGCCTCCAACTAGTCATATTCTTTATGGTACTATGCTATTTTTACTTCAGCCTCAAGTGCTCTACATTGCAACTCAACTATGGGTTATATGCACTCCCATCAAAATTTACTATTACTTTTTATTCTATTACATATCTTTAAGAACTGGATTTCCTGGTTCCATTTTACTATTTCTCCAACGCTTTAAAGGACTTTATAACATTTAATCATAAGTTAATTCAATTTAATTATGTACCAAATTCGAATTATATATCTGGTTGATATATATCTAGTATCTACCAATTTCTGAACGAACATGCAATATATTACTACCACATACCCTACTCCTATTATTATCTACCAAATCTTGAGTAGCATCAACAAAAAGCGAGTCGTTCGTTGTACGTCGCATTGAGCACACGCGGATCCCCATTTTCTCCGTGAACTAACGTATACGGAACCATTAGCCGCGATCTCAGCGCAATCATCTCATCAGTATATCATCAAATCTAAATCACCATCATTTACCTTAAAATCCATAAATCGTATTCATAGTCATATGATTATTATATTAATCTCATAATTTCATCAAAGTATTGCAAATCATTTTTCATTGTCATATCAACCGCCCGTTCTATTAGCCATTTTGCTCATAATTCAGCTTGTCATCGATTGTAACTCATCATTGTATCACTAACATTCCTTAATCTTTCAGATCTATTCGTTCATGTACAACTTTTCACCGCGTATATTTACCGACTATTTTCCATAGAGGTGTATCAAATTTTACCTTGTGATGGTCCTTACTACAATCTTGCAGTGTAACTATCTTGTACACCTCGAGCGCTTTATTCATAATATTTCTAAAGTGTCTGTATACGGTGTCTGGGTTCTATAAATTAGCACCTCTTCTAATTTCCCATTAATTACAACAGACACATAAAATCAATTCTGAAAGGATTAATTTCAATTTAAACTATTTAGTTAGTACAATAGTCAATCCGATTTCTCCAAAGGGCGTTCAGCCACACATACAAGTGCATATAGGTGCTCAGACTAATCTATGGAATCAAATGCCCAGCATTTGATTGCGTTGATCATTACTTATAAAAATTTTAACTTCCGTCGTCGTCAAAGACAACGCTTTAAATTTAATTCAATCTTATTTATCTGATCAATATCAACCAAATATTTGAAAACAACATCACCGTTATTATTATAAACTTCCAATATCTCTACACCTGTAATTTTGTACAATTCAACATTAAAACACCCTCACTTATTTAATACATCCGTTCTCGTATGCTATGCAAGTGACAACATCAATTCTTATATGTTGATGAGTTTACTATTAAAAGCCTTAGTTAACACTTTTATTTTACTTCAACTCAACAGTTATGTCAAAAGTGACAATGGTCTAAATACAACACATCCAATCTCATATTCCAGTCAATTGAGTCAACATGTATACCAACAATTCTTACATGCTCGTTAATTTAGCATTATACGCTTCGATTATACTCTTTTTGTTTTTTTTAATCAATTAAAATCTTAATAGATACAATATCTCAAGATTTAACAAAGGTTAACTAGAAATTAATAAAATTGGCAAAACCATCTACAACAGTAATTTATAACAGTAAACTGTAATCCTTAACAATATTTAACTTTCTTATATCTTAATTTTTATATCCTTTAGTAACTTTTCTTATATATTCCTGGGATTACATTGACAGATATAGCCTTACTTCCACAACTTATATTCTCTCTCATTTTATTTGCATTAGATATAAAGGTCTCTTAAAACAGTTATAGGTTCAATAGGATCCTTTCAACTTAAATCTAGTATACCCATGTACACTTTTCAAAACTTTAATGCTCATACATTTAACAACAATCAATTGTCCTTTTGTTTGTTGTGTGGTACCTGTGCTTCTTAAATTTGTATTCAATATAATACCATTATAATTAAAGAACAATGGCTCAGCTCGCAAACATTTTCTCAACAAATACTTCTCTATAACATGTAAAACTTACAACTTAGACCATGCAGTATTTATTTTTCATTCTACATATATGCTATT